GTGACTGATGATGATGAACATTAATAATCATTTTTAAGCTGGGGTTTCTTTGTCATCTCGCCCCTACCTCACACTACCTCATGCTTTAACGGCTGAGAGGAAGCAGCTGAGCAGCTTAAGTCTCAATGCAATGCAATGGTTCCACAGAAACGCATGAAACTCCTCCACTCCCAGGACATGTATTCGGTGCTTTGGGTGTGGGTTCACAAGTCGGTGCTAGGACAGTGCCATCAACCTGGGTCCTTGCCTCTGGCAGGATGTATTTCATCTCTGCAGGTCTGCTTGACAAGGGTCAAGGGTGGTTGGCCTGTGGCCCTCTACCTGTCACCTTGTTCCCCAGTGGGATCTGCAGAAATTTTTGGGGGAAATCTTTGTCGTCTTAGGTCTGCTTACTGAGGGACCCCCAGGTGGATGGTTGTCCAGTTTCCTGGCCACTTAAAGGACCAATATGTAGGATTTAGTGCCATTTAGACATGTAGTTGCTGATTGCAACACCCTCATCTCATCCTCCTGTTCCAAACAAGGCCCTATCTTGAGCCAGTCGTTGGTTTGTCTATTATGGGCTACTGTAGAAACATGGTGGTTCAACATGGCAGACTCCGCAAGAAGAAGACCCACTCCCTCGGTAGATAAAAACAGCTTATTCTAAGGTAATGAAAACACAAGGATTTTTATTTTCAGGTGATTATACACTAATGAAAACATACTATATATATACATATAATAGATCCTCCTAAATGTTACACACTGCCGTACTGGGCCTTTAACTCCTTTTCGTCCAGCAGGTGGGTCTCAGTTGTAGTATGCATGGATTTCAGGCCTTCGCCGCCAGTGGTAACCAATAGCGAAGCCTGTTGGAGGGCGTAGCATGTACAAAATTGAAAGTAGTTCCTGGATGTAACTCCAGTTCTATGAGTATTTTTGTAGCCCCATTAACTAGAGGCCTAGCTGGCTCTTGTTCTATTCCTGTGGCTGAGTTTAAAAGGGAGATAAGCAGCGGGTGCATGCTGGTCTTTTTTAGTAAGTGGTTTCTACCTCCTGATTCGGCAGTGTGCAAAGATCTCAGAGCACCCAGGCGGAGTTACATTCAGTAAGTACTCCGGTGTCATGCAGTTTAGTCGGACATGTAATTTATTAATGTGTCTATCTGACCTTTTACTTGTTGCAGGGTGTTTCTGTGAAAGACACATTTTTGCTCAATCAACTTATCTGGATAAATAAAGGTTAAATAAAAATAAAATATCAGACTAGAACATCAGCAAATGTTATATAATATATGTACATGGTAACCTATTTCATTTTTTGAAATCTGTGGTGGGTCAACATAAATTGAAAGGCTTAAGTCGCTCAGCAACCTCAAAGTTGGTTGCTGTTCCTATTTCATTCAGTGGTAGGGGTAATAACTGTTCATTCACCTTGGGCATTAAAGTCAAGTCAGCTGTGCATGAAGCTGTGCATAAGTCCTCTAAATGTCCCCTAATGTCTAACTGTCCGCCTGTTTCTGTTAAGATATGAGGCTGTGGTGCAAGCTCTGAAGGAGCGTGATGCGCAGCTGGAGGTTCGGTGTCAGGCCCACACAGAGGAGCTGCAGAAGGCTAAGAAACGCATTGTCAAACTACAGGAGAATATGGAAGTTCTGGCTGCACAAGTACGCTGTTCACAGAGAACCCAGCAGGAGGCCATGGAACAGAAAGATAAGACAATCCAGAGGTGAGACAGACAGATCCCACGAAAAAGCCAAAAATCATCATATTGGCATTAACAAACCTGATATCTGTGGAGCTTTAGTTTGTATGATTCTGTGTGTATTTTATATACAGTGTGTGTACTGTATGTGGTTGCTAATTTAATGTGTACAGACACCAGCAGCTATGACCTGTGCTGATGTAACAAGTAACTAGTTGATCCTGTGTATGTGCGTGCATGTGTGTGTGCTTGTTTCAAAGGCTTCACACAGAGGTAGAAACCACCCGGACTGGATGGGACAAGTACATCAGTCAGGTCTCCAGTGAGATGGTTGTCAAGGATACAGAGGTCATTACCCTGCAGGAGAGAGAAACCAAACTTAAGACTGAGCTGGACAGGATCAAGGAGGAGATGGAGGGGTAAGAAGACAGCAGGAATATTGTGGTAGATATTAAGAAATGAAGAAGAAAGAGATGGAGGAGAGGATGGGTAAAACACAGTGATTTAGTACCTTTATCCTCAGGAGAACACAGAGGTTACAGTGAAGAGGGGGGTAAGCATTGTGATGATTATGTAGCTTCGAAGACATGAATTATATGACCTAGTCTGAGTCGTTGCTATGATTTATGAAATGTCCTCTATATGTGTTGTCAGGTACAAGCAGCAGCTGAGTGCTGGTCTGAAGAGAGAGAGGGCCTTAGAGCAGAAGAGAGTCCAGGTGGAACTGGAGTGGCAGAGACGCTGTGAGGACCTGAAGGCTGAACTCTACCTTGCTAATGAGCAGCTAATACAAGACCTGAGCAATGCAAGAGACCAGGTCAGCCTCTCATACGTCAAACAACCCCCCCTGTACAATGCATGTGGATTTACTGGCGCACATTCATTGTAGGGTTCGCCTACTGTAGGTTTTTAAATGTGAATGCTGCTTTGTATTGAAAAAGATAAACACTGAGACTTTAGCAACTGATTTTCAGAAAACCTATATGGATACCTGGATGGAGTCGCTGTTTGTGTGTCATTCTTGTGTGTTTGCAAGATTTGCCTATCTCCCTATTGCATTTTAAGGAACAGTTTTAAAATAGAGCCAATGGAAATCCAATCCTGATGAAATCTGATCAAGAAAAGAAAAGTTTGCAAATATGCAAATGTGAAGGATAAACATATTTATGGTTTTCTACATAAGCATCTTGATGTGACTGTGTACCTGTAGCTAATTAATGGTAAATAACATAAAATAACATTTTTCCTCACTTTATATAGTTCAAAACCAACTAAACATCAGGAAAGTGTAAAACAATTGACACAGCATCCAGTAGTAAGAAGTGAAGTTGTTATCTGCACATCCACAGGTGCAACTATAGAGAATTTCCGCTGATTTTTGTCCAGTTTTAATCCACTTTGATTTTGTTGGAACTGAATCTCACAGAGCAGAAAATAACTCACTATTGACTTGTGAAGGTAAGGAGATAAATACAAATGCTCTACAGAGAAAGTACTGACAGCTGCTAATTCTGAGGACAGACAAGACATCTACAGTATCTGAAACATGTTGCATTGTTAATAACACACAGTAAGGGGGGTGCCCGGTAGCTCACCTAGCCACATTTTTTGCCAGATAAAGGCCAAAAGCCCGTACATAAGCCTGTATTTATAAGATTTTTTTCATTTACACTTTTGAGTGAGTTGGCAGCAGCTGAAGTTTTAGGTTTAAATATCCTGAATCACATGGATCATACCGTTTATTACTCTCATCATATTTCCTTGCAAGTTTAGGATTTAACTATAGAAAATATACTACAACTGTCACTGTTTATTGACTGAAAATACGTTCCCTCATGTGAACAAATGCTGTAGTGCCCCGAGACACTGTACTCACAGTGGTGATTCAGTGAGTGCATTGATCTTTGTCAAGGGTGCTGAGATAGAAATAGAACCACCTCTGTGTCTGTACTGGTTTGAAGGCTCAGGCTGATGTAGTTGATACTAATAGAGGTTTTATGTTGGTCTCTCTCAGGCTAAAGCAGAGCTGAAGGAGAAAGAACAAGAGCTGCAGGAGTTGACTGTCTTACTACGTTCTGTTAAGACGGAGAGAGACCAGGCAATACAGGTGAGAATACATCCACCTTACGCTGTGCAGACTAATAGAACATTAAAAAGTGCCTACCAGGCATGCTCCGTCTTGTTTTTAGTCCTCCGCACGGACACAAACACACTGTACTGGTCCCAGTCGCACACAATGAGCAGGACTTCGGTGGTATGTGGACTTCACTGTGTCCACTGTTTGCTTGTTTGTGCATCATTCCTCAGGGATGTGACCACATCTATGGCTTATCTGATTTTATAGAGGAAATAGCCAGTTAGCAAACCAAAGAGGTAAAGTGGTCCAGCTCAGTGGCATAAACCCTCTAAATGTTATGTTACCTTTATATTTGAAATATTAACACATTCATGTTTCCTTCTTATGGCATTTTCAATTAATTTCCCTTCATTGAACACATTTATGAGGCTGCTGGAACACTTGGTATTTTAATTATGTGCCGCACAGAGCTGTTCCGGTTGGCATAAGCAGCATGTCCTGTTTTGTGTGTGGAATTCAGATGGAGTGGAACTGATTTGCTCTGGTTAGTGAGTTTGCCCACAAGGAAACTTAACCCCTCAGCAGATGAGGAAGGAAAGGAAGACTTGGAGAAGAGAAAGTGAGAAGTTGGAACGTGTTGTGTCCAGGGTGTGATGGGTCTGCAGTGATGTCTCCTGACTCAAGACAAGTCCTGAATTAGTCCTAAATAGGGCAGGTTGGCACCATTTTCTAACTGGTTGAAGTTCCCCCCGTGACAGAGGGTTCATCCAATCCCCTGCCAAGTATTTTTGCCTGCCCTTCTTCCAAACAGAACTCAGGTGGTTCTGTGTAACACACCTAAATTGTTCCTGGCCAGAAACTGTGGTTTGAATCTAGTCAAGTTTATTGTCTAGAGTTTGGAAAGAGGAAGTCCCTGCCATGCTCCGCCTCCTGGTGTTAAAGGAAGACTTTAAAAAAAGACTCCTCTCAGCCCGAAGACACTGCGGGTCGCCTTCTCTGGAGTCTGTCATGTTGAACCGCCATGCTTTTGCCGTAGCCCAGAATGGACAAACCAAACACTGGCTATAGGTAGTTTCACAGCCACCGTAGTTTCTCCTACACACTTTACAGCCCATTTTCATGCCTAGGTCGTCAAATACAGATGCAAGCAGTGTCCAGTTAGTTGCAATATGCAACTTCAGTGCTAGATGCCACTAAATCCTACACACTGGACCTTTAAATGACATTAGATTAAGGACACTAGCCTCCGCAGCATTGGCCTCAATTCTTAAACCCGGAAGCTCTGCCCACTCATGACTGTAAATACTGTAAATAGTCCAGATCAAGGAATCTGGACAATTATTGACTAGATTGCTGTGAAATCTGTTTTGGATATCCCCCAGAGGGTGACAACCATTTGTTTGAGGCTCATATTCTGTTTGGCAGATTGCCACAAAATGAAATGAGGACAAATTCTTTCCTTTTCATGACCTCTTACACTATCCTCAGGCCAACATGTCACCTCTGTAAACGGAGGTATCTGTTGTATAGGTAAGATGAGACATGTTGTGACATCTCAATTTAGTGCATAGCGGGTTGATCAGTTCAGTGTGTTCCCAGCAATGATACCGGTCACTGAATTAGAGTTGTTCCCTAGACACGTTTCTGTTTGAGTGGAACTTCCCATTCCTATTTCTCTGCTCTGTAGGTTTACTTACCATGATACGGACACTCAAATGGTCCTTTAGCCACAGATTGTACTCCCTAAAGAACCATACTTAGCTTTGGAACAAATCCAACTGTCCAATCTTGCAGTATTTTCACCCTTTTCCCAGGATCTGAGTATCAGAGAGCTACAACATGTGGAATATCTGCAAATGATCTTTCTCAAAATGTATTATCAGATGATATGGATCACCGTTGAGCCAATAATGCTAATAATTTGACATTTTATTATTCTCATAAGGACTAACAAACTTATTACAGGCTAACATACACTCATATATTACATGGGGTGTTGTATTAATAATCCAGCTGATGCCCTGTTCCCTTAGAGTGTGTTCAATGCTGTCCTGTGTTTGGCCTTCGGCCTTTTCTTTGAGCATCCTAGAGGTATGGTGGCCTTTCAGTCAGGCTCAGTGACTCCCCAACATAGCAGCCTCTGAAAGCCACATTGGCACCGAGAGGAAAAACATATCAAGGTCTTGTCCATGTAAACCTTCTCAAATGACCAAAAAAATACTTAGACTAAATACCTGGAATGAGGCTCTACACAGCGAGGCATGATATATTTGGTGACTTGTTATTCAAAGATGTTAGGCTGCATGTTCCAAATTTCTGTGAGAATGTTCAAACATTATATCAGCCATGTTCAAACTATACAATACTAAATATAATGTTACAGCTAATCCACCACATTTGAGTGAGAACAGACCATTTTAAAGTACAAACGTCATACAGATGTTCTCACAGCTGTGCACATTAGCAGGAATGAAAAACATTTATAATGGAAAAGTACTATCCATGTCCATTCATTCTCAGATGTGTATCATGTATCTGGTTGTTTTTGGCATACAGTGCTCTATAGCGCCTACCAGAGGGGAGAAGTTGGAACGTGTTGTGTCCAGGGTGTGATGGGTCTGCAGTGATGTCTCCTGACTCAAGACAAGTCCTGAATTAGTCCTAAATAGGGCAGGTTGGCACCATTTGAGTGTCTAGAGTTTGGAAAGAGGAAGTCCCTGCCATGCTCCGCCCTGTGTTGGGCCAGTAGCTTTGAGACGTTATGCTGCTGTCAGCAGCTGTATTTTTGTCTTTTAAAGCTGAAATATTGATATTTTAAAATGTGTGACTTGATGGTGGGAGCTAACTAAAAGTGGTTATGACTTTCATGTAACATTTTTTTTCCATCCTAAATTTAGTGCAGTAGTGTTAAGTAACATATGTCAGTGCTGGGGCCCGGTTAGCTCAGTCGGTATAG